AGTTTGCACAACTTACAACTTTAATAAGCCAGTTGTCACAAACTACAAACAACTCTGAACTCTTTTCTAGAAAGACTAAACCACATGTTGGGTTTGAAACTAGAATATGATGCTTGCATCATTTTCTAGTTTTTTTTTTCATATTCTATGATTTTTTACAGCCCCCTGTTCTCAATAAAAGCAGAGGTGGGTGCAAATGAACAATTTTCATCTTCTAGACCAAGGTTTTTACAGAGAATATCTTGAAAAATATGAAGAACAAAATACAGATTTCCATTTATTAATGACACTTCTGCATTCATCTTATTTGGAGGAACTAGAACCACAAACACGACATAGATTTACTCAAACGCAAACCATGTAACCCAAATAAGAAAACAATACTCAACCCTGAAAAGTTAGAAACTTTGAGCCTGTCTCATAATGCAGACATGCAAAATCTTTGTTTTGTATCTACAATCATTTAAATTTTTACTTTAATTTAGCAGATAAACTTTAAAAAAGACCAAGTTTGTTTTCAAATTATTTTACAGCCCCAAAGTTCTTTCAGTCAGCCTGTCAGTTTAGGCATTTTGTTTGTCGCCTCTTTGTCGCGATGCTCTTTTTCTTTTCTCTTCCTTCTTTTTTGCGCTCCGCTGTCATATTTTCTGTTGTCCGCCATTGTAAAATAATATTCCCTGACGCTCCTCCCCAATGCGTAAGATGCGTCAAAAGTGGACGAATAACAAGCAAGCATTCAAGATGGACGTTTGCCAGAACAAATTGGAACATTTTTCATCGGTGCTGTCAAAATCATCATAGTCATTGATTAAATTCTGACACTGTCCATTCACAAAAACATAAAACATCCTTCGGGGCCCCCGAAATGCCGGGGCCCCGGGCTGCAGCCCCTGTAAGCCCCTGCTAAAATCTGGCCCAGTGTACAGGTATACTGTACACACAGTGTCTGTGAGGTCCTGGCTGACTGATATTGTTTTTAAATTAGCTACCATTGGTCAGTTAACTGGTTTGTCTTTAATAGCTTTAAACTAAGCAGTCTATAAATATTTACTATATAATTCTTACCCCAACCAGTAATTCTTGCTGAAAGATAATATAGACATATATGGACACAGTTACTAGAAGAATCTGTATTCGTAGTAGTAGAATCTAGTGTTTGAGCAAAGAGGAGCTCAGAAAGAGTGTACTGTATGTCAGTGGATGGTGGTTCATAGAGACAGACAGGTTGGGCCGAGCCAACTGACTGAAATTCAATTAAATTCAGTTTATTTCTATAGCACCAAGCCAAAACTTAACTTGTCTCAGGACTATACAAAAATATCCATGTGCCTTATAAAAGCCATTTAGTAAAAGTTATCTGTCTAAGGAAGCCAGCTGATTGTGTTGAATCTTCATTTTGTCAAAGCACAAAGGTAACAGTGGAAAGGACAAACTCCCTTTTACAAAGAAGAAACTTCCAGCAGAACCAGGTTCAGGATGAGCGGGCATCTGCTTGGACCGGCTGGTTTGAGAGGACAGGAAGGAGAAAAAAACAATCTAAAAAACAAAAAATGACAGTTTTTGATGTAAAAACTACAATTTTCTTTTCCTCCTTTTTGATCACTCATTTTATTGATACCTGTCATGATGTGTAGGCATAGTTAAAAGAAATTAAGAAGACTGTATTTTAAAGAGACTGCCCAATGCAGCTTTAGGGAATGCTAGGCCTTTAACCCAGTATTCACCTGTACCAGTTTGTTTTGAGAACTCAGTTTCTCCCTGCGTCTTTCATCCTCTTGACACTTTTCTTTTTCTTGTCTCTGCCTCCTAAAGGAAATCCCCCGGCCACGGGAAAGCCACGCACCTTTGTACGCTTTCGTCAAATAGACCCAGTTGAACAAATAGACTTTGACTCAATTCTGGATTATGAAGAGCACAAACAAAATAATTCTACAGAAACCCAGAAGTCTAACAACACACTCTCAGGATTAATGCTGTCTGAAGAGGCCCGGATGTTTCTGACAGGCTCAGTCTCCACCATCCTCATGCCGTCCTTCTACACCTTAGTGTGCTGCATCAGCGTGCCCATTAACCTCTGTGCAGTTCTGGCCTTTGCCCGGGGCATTCGACCCAAGAAGCCCGCAGCCATCTACATGCTGAACCTGGCCTTTGCCGACTTGCTCTTTGGCCTAATGCTCCCCTTCAAAATCTCCTACCACTTCAAAGGCAATGACTGGATCTTCGGCCCCCTCATGTGCCGTGTGGTCACCGCCAGCTTTCACTGGAACATGTACTGCTCCGTGCTCCTCATCGCCTGCATCAGCGTGGATCGGATGCTTGCTGTCGTCTACCCCATCGACTCCCTAGCTTGGAGAAGGCCACGGAACACCATCATAGCCTGCATGACCATGTGGATAGTCTCCTGTGCTTGCTCTGTGCCCCTTGTCCTCTCCAACCAGACCATCCACCTTAGTGACCTGAACATCACCACCTGCCATGATGTCCAACATTCAGGGGACATTTTCTGGCTGAAAAACTACTTCATCGCCCTCTCCTGCTCCTTGGTTTTCTTGCCCTTGCTTGTCACGGTGGTGTCATACACCAAGGTTATCTGCAGCCTGAGCAGAGTGCCACCTGGAGTTCCAGGAAGTTCCCACAGAAGAAGAAGAGCAGTAGTGATGGCGTTTACAGTCCTGGTGATATTCGTGCTGTGCTTCATGCCCACCAACTGTCTCCTACTGGCTCACTATCTGATGTTTAACGAGAGGTTTGAGAAGGACCAGGAGACCCCAGACGGCACCTACGGACTCTATCTGATGTTCTTGTGTGTAGGAAGTGTGAACTGCCTTCTGGATCCCGTGGCCTACTACTTTGGATCATCCCAGTGTCAGAGGCAACTGTCCAATGTGTTTACGTGCCAGAAGACAGCAGACAGAGGAAGCATCACTCATTCATCCTCTGGCTCATGCAGATCCAGCACAAGAGCGATGCTCCAGTCCAGCCAGACCAAAAGTTCCCTAATAAACTCCTCCATTGCAGAAATGGACTCCCTCCAGATGATGCTCAACAGCCAGTACAAGAAACTGCTGATCTGACAGCTCCTCCACTCAGCAGCAGGATTTAAAAACTGCACAAAGCTCTAATGAAGTTTAAGTACGTGCACACACACGGAGCACTTCAGTGCCTTTATTCACAAATTCACAAATACTTTATTAATCCCAGGGGGAAATTAAGTGTTGTCGTAGCTCATCCTCCTGGTTTCATTCAGGAGTTGTTATAGATGCTGATAGCTGTGGGCAGGAAGGATCTCCTGCAGTCTCTGGCCACAGATACCGATCTGTCCACCTGGACCCAACACGCTGTCAGATCCAGTGGGCCTCTCGGTCCACCTGGGCAGCAGGACTGCCTGAATGCTGGGCAGAATTCCTCCCTGAGCGATGGCCACTCCTTCCAGCAGTCTGCTGAGCTCCTCGTCACCACTGACAGACAGCTGAAGGTGCTGGGGGATGATCCCGGTCCTCCCGTTGTCACAAGCAGAGTTTCTCACCAGCTCCAGGATCTCGGTGGTCAGGTACTCGAGCACGGCCACCAGGTTGACGGGAATTCGTCCACGGCACCTCCTTTTCAACTCAAATGGGATTTGGGGCTGTAGTTGAGATATGTGAGCTTTTTTTTTTTTTTCTTTATGCTTCAGTATTCCCAAGGATTTAAATAGAAGAAAGGTAACTGACAAAACTGTGGTGCCAAGAAAAGCTTTGAATAAATGTTTGTTCGGTGACAAGCTTGACATTTAGCTGATGTAAGAAATCCAACCGAGTTGGACATTAATTACATACAATAAATTAATTTATTTTTGCACTATATATTTACATTACACATAGGAGATTAAGAGTTCACACAACTTGGCCTTTATTGCTCTGTTCTGTCATTTTTTATTTGAAAAGAGATTATTTTAGAACACTTGCGCAACGCTGTCAGGCATTTATTTTTCATGTGATGCCACATTTTCTTCTATTGTTTTTTCTGTTTGTATCTATAAATAAATATTTTCAAATTTTCAACATGATCATCATTTTTAAGCCTAATCAGAAACAATAAAGAGTATTTGGATCCACAAAATCCTCCTTCCAAAGGTTGTTGAGTGCTGCTCCCTGCTGGAGGAAAGCTGCAACAGGAAGAAAAGAAGAAGTCATATTTCATCCACTGTGCATTTCTTTGGTTTACTTTAATATTTTTGTTGTATTTAAGGGTTGTGGGGCACAAAGTTAATTACAAAATAAGATCTGATTTCAGGTGTTCTAGTTAAGTCTTTGTCTGTTCCTTCTGATGAAGAGGAACTCACCACACCTGCTCACTCTTTCAAATTAAAAGTCCTAAAAACACTGAGCTCCAGATGAACTCTGTATCCGTTTTCCTCAACAATAGCACAGTCAAAAAAAAAAAAAAAACTTTATTTATAACAGTTCACAATACAAAGTTCAAAACAAAATTCAGAACAATAATCAAAACACAAACTTGTTAATAAACAATAAAAATAAAAAAATTAATTATTTTCTGTGCAATATTGAACATAAAGTGCATTCTTTTTAGGGGTTAACATTACAGTCTTATATTCTTCAGAACAGAACAATGAAAAAGTGGCGAGAAAACAAAGAAACAGAAGAATAAAGAAAAGGATAAAAAGAAACGTTACGGGGAAAGTGTAGAATTAAAATCAGTTCTGGGGCACCATGTTCAAAAAAGAAAACTATTTTTGGGCATTGGGATTTTTCATGTTTTAAGAATTCACATATAAGTCATTTTTAAAGGGATTTTTTTTTTTTTTTTGGGGGGGGGGGGGTATTTCTGTACTTTATTCCTGTGAATAAAAAATTTAGCCAAGCACAAAATAACTGACACAGAGTTCCTGTTCTTTGTCTTTTAACAACAAAACAAAAACCATGTCATCTCTACAGAGGGAAATTGTTGATGGAAAATTAAAAGTGTAAATCTCTTGAGAAGTTCTGAACAGCTGCACAGAAGAGGAACAGCTGTTTTCATATCACTGTCACAGAATGTGCACGTGTTATCACGTAGATTCAAGTGTTTTCTCAGTAATTCCTTGGATGGATAAATGTCAGTCATAATTTTAAAGTGTTTCTTTTGGGGGCAATAGGAAAAGCTAAATACAAAGACCTTATGTGAAGGGTTAGTCTTGTTGTGAAAGATCGAAAGTGTTTCTCACACTACTTCCAGTAAAAACACACCAGAAAGCCTCTGATGATCAAATAAAACCAGTAAAGCTCAGCAGCTCAGCTTCATTTCCTCTGAATGTAGACGTTCCCTCCGGATGTTTGAGGTGTGTCACCTCGTGGGGGTGGGGCTTGTCCGCAGGTACGCGCGTGACGTCACTCAGGTTATTGTGTGGAGACACGGGACGCTGTAGCAGACGCTGACCGCACCCGGTGCCAGTCGAGTCCAACTCGTCCTGTCGTCATGTCTTTGAGGACACGATGGGTCCAAGTGTCCCTGCTGTTGTCCTCCACGCTCACGTGCCTGGCGATGAAGATAGGTCAGTGTGAATTCGTTTTCTTTGCTTCAGCAGGTTTAGCCTTTTTAGCTTCGACTGACGTCATACAGGTGTTCCCTCAAAGATAGTTTCTTATTTGAAGTTTTAGTCTTGTTAGTGTCTGATGAACAGGTCGAACAAAGGTTCGGCAGGTCCACTCAGGTGTGTGTGAACACACGAGCTGATCTGCTTTTCAGAAACAGGTTGCACACACATCCAGTGTGTGACTGATGTTAACTGTTCCTGGCCCTGTACGTCCTGTCATGCTCCAACAATGGCAGAAAATACTGCATCACTGCAAACTGTCTGATTTGGGTCAAACATTTTGGGTTTCCTTCCAGATGTTTATCACAACGTTTTGCTGGATTTTGGTTCGGTTCCTCTTGACTTTGTAGGTGACCTGCTCACACACACCTTTTCAGCTCGGCCCACAAATGTCTTCTGAGACCGAGACTGGGTTTTTGTGATGTCTGCGCCATCAGCCACTTTATAACTAATTTATTCATATACTTTGAGTTATTATCCACTTGAAAACCCGTTTGTGTCCGAGCTTTAACTTCCTGTCTGTGGCCATGTACCATAACGCTGCCTCATAATGTTCACATTTCTTTCCTCATGTCGTCTGTTAAGTAACGTGCACCAGTCCCTCCTGTAGAACATCTGGCATCCTGATGCTGCCGCCCCAGTACTCCACATTAGGGATTCTGTTCTCAGGCTTCAAGTGTCCTGTCAGGTTGGATGTGTTAGTTGCTCATTATGACCGGACGGTTTAAGTTTAGTTTGATTAATTGGCCACGGTGTTCCTCCAGTTATCTCAGCTGTGCACATCTGCACACTTTAGTCTGGACTTTTCTGTTGCTTCTTCCTTCAGCACACGTTGGTCCAGGACTCGTTTCACTTGTGGATAAAATTCAATTCACTTTCAGTTCAGTTTATTTCTTTAGTGTCAAGTCACAACAGAAGTCGTTTCATGGGACTGTGCAAACACATGCACATACATTTTAAAAGCCAATTATTTTATTTTATTTAACCTTTATTTATACAGATAGTCTCATTGCGTCACAGGGACTCATTTTCAAGAGAGACCTGTTTGGGAGCATATGGTGGGGTTATGGGCCTTGCTCAAGGGCTCAGAGTGGGGCAAATGAGGGTGGAGGCAGGTGTGGTTGTTTCACCTTTTACACCCACATTTTGATGTTATCTGTACGGGGAGTTGAACCAGTGACCTTCCTTATCACAGGCTCCCCTTCTTTAGCCTCTGCGCCACCACAATTACTAAAAGTGGTTTATCTAAAGAAGCAGCAGATTGTGTTGAATCTTCACTTTGTCACAGTCATCCATCCTGAGGAAATCCATGGCAACAGTGGAAATCCATGGCAACAGTGGAAATCCA